TAGACTACTGCATCCCTACTTCACAGTTTTGCACTTATCATGGTGGGGCATGGTCCCTAGCACCCGTGATAAATGAGGGAACATGTATTTTTATCAGATTTTTATGAACAGGAGTGTTTTGGCCTTAAGGTAAATGTTGCAAGGTTTTTGAATAAACTCCAAAAATAATAATACATCAAAATAAATGCTGTTATCTATTATGAAACCTTTCATCTACCTTTCTACTAATGTCAGTTTATTTTTTTATTTTTTTTATGTATTTCTTGTGGGTCTGTTGTGGTTCTTTCAGCTTCAACTCATTCATTTTTAGATAATTTAGCATAACATTTAGTGTGGCAGTAGCTGAGAGTGATTCTCCACTCATTCTGAAGACAAAACAAACGTATGTCCATGTCCGTGGACACTTTTTTGTCCAAGCTCTAAATTACTCAACAATGCAATGTAGGAATGTGAAAATTTTACAGCTATAAACTTCATAGGTCAGCAAGGATTTCTATTGATTTCAAGGTCATGTGGTCAAAGGTCAAGGTCATACATCAAGTTCAAAAGTCACCCTTAGTTTTCAATAGCTCCAATTTGATAACCATTAAACAAAGAAATGTCAAACTTCACAGTTGGACACCATGCTGGTCAACAAAGGTCCCTATTGATTTAAAAATCCATGGTAATGATCGGCTTTTCCTGCTAATGTTTTGCTTCTTTGGACTGTTAGTTAGCTTTCAATTCTGAAGGACTGGTTTGCATGTACAGACTGGCAGGTCTTCAGAGAAGATGCTGTAAAGGAGGCGGAGCTAGACATATATTAATACACATCCTTGGTGCTGGCCAAAATCTTTAACTCATCCCTCACCCTGGCCTGGCAAAAGTTCACATCAATGTGAAGAAGACGAAGGAGATGGTCGTGGACTTCAGACGGAACAAACACACCTACCTCCACCTGAATATAGGAGGATCTGTGGTGGAAGTGGTCTCCAGCTACAGGTACTTGGGTGTACACATGAATTACAACCTCAGCTGGGGTAACAGCACCACCAGCCTGATCAAGAAAGCTCCTCGGAGACTCTACTTCCTCAGGCGGCTGAGACGAGCTGGTCTGGGAAGCTCAGTCCTCACCTCCTTCTACAGGTGTGCAGTGGAGAGCATCCTGTGCTCCAGCATCAACGTGTGTCATGGAGGCTGCACAGCTGCAAAATGAAAAGCTTTGCAGAGAGTGGTGAAGGCTGCACAGAAGTCTGTCAGAGTCAGCCTCCACACCATCACAGACATTTACACCTCTAGATGCAGGAAGAGGGCCACCTGCATCATGAAGGACCCCACTCACCCAGTACACACACTTTTTGCCCCGCTCCCCTCAGGAAGGAGGATGAGGAGCATTAAATGTAGAACCACCAGACTGAGAAAGAGCTTCTACTCTGAAGCTGTTAAGACTCATAAATCCCTAATCATGATTATCACTGTGAAAAAAAATCACTTAATGCCACTTGATTGCTGATATGTGCTGCTGACCATCCATGCTGCTGCTCTCATGTTGCTGTGTTCATTCGTCCTCATCTGCTCCCACAGACTCATGTTCATGCTGCTGTTCAGCGTATTGTTTTTGTACTACTAGTGCTTAGTGTATTCTTAGTTTAGCATATTTCTTAGTTCATAATTTAGATATTACTAATGTTTTTCTTTTACAATTTATACTTTTGTTGGTTGTGTCTTGCACCCTGTGTACACAGCTTCATTCCACCATGTGAATGAAAATAAAGAAACCTTGACCTTGACCTATTTCTGGCTATTGGAGAACATTTCTCTAATTCTGGCTCTTAGCTAGCATTTTTCTTTTTTTTTCCTTACATTTTGCTACTTTAGACTCTAAGCTAGTTCTTTATTGCCTTTTTTGTTAGTATTTTTGGCATGTTTGACTCAGAGCTATGTTTTTCTTGTTATTTGCTAGGGTTTCACTAATAGGTTTATCTAGCTTTCCCCTTCTGTTTGCTGGTGGTTTTCCACTTCTGACTTTAAGCTAGCATTTTCTTGGTGTTTGCTTGCATTTCTATGACAAAGTATTAGGGCCACGCTAAGAAAAAAAATACATTAAAAAATTGCATTACAAAAAAAAGTCATAAAATTACGAGAAAAAGTCGTACGAGAATAAAGTTGAAGATCATGAGAATAAAGTTGTAATATTAAAAGAATAAAGTCAAAATAATATGCAAATAAAATTGTAGTATTATGAGAATAAAATCATAATATTAAGAGAATAAAGTCGTAATATTATCAGAACTCCAGCACGAAAAGATGTCATAACTGCGATAAAATTATGAATGTTGAACATCTTGTTAAGTTATACTTTGGTGTTGATGTTACAAATAAGGAAATACTTAATCTGTTAGCATAATCAGCATCAGATTATTATCAGTGTCAGGACTTTGAAACGATTGTGCAAACTACTATGTCTGTTTCAAAAAAAGAAGCACACGGATTTGGAAGATATTGCTTCTTTTGTGGAACAGGAGCTTCCTGGCCGTGGCCGACTGAAAGGCCATAGGTGGTTACATCCGCATGCCATTCAAAGATGTTTTGTTGTTTCTCAGCAAACACTGAAGACGTTCATCAAGATTTTGGATTCAGTGGGAGTTGAACTTCGGCGAGCATGGCGTCTCCAACATCGGCAGTACAATAGCAGGGCGCCCAACTCACTGTGGCATATGAATTCTTATGAAAAACTGAAAATGTATGACATTGCAATTAATGGCTGGATTAACAGATTTATTCTCATAATATTATAACATTATTATTGTATTATTTTGACTTTATTCTTGTAATATTATAACTTTATTCTCATAATATATTACTTTATTTTGTAATATTATGACTTTATTCTCATAATATATGACTTTATTCTCATAATATTATGACTTTATTCTTGTATTATTTAGACTTTATTCTTGTACAACTTTTCTTGTAACATTATGAATTTATTCTCATAATATTATTACTTTATTCTCGTAATACTATGACGTTATTCTCGTAATAGTATGACTTTCTTCTTGTAATATTATTATTTATTCTCATAATATTATTACTTTATTCTTGTATTATTTTGACTTCATTCTCATAAGACTTTATTCTCATAATATTATGACTTTATTTTCTTAATATTATGACTTTATTCTCTTAATACTACAACTTTATTATCATGATATTATGACTTTATTTTTGTACAACTTTATTCTCGGAATTTTATTGCTTTTTTCTCATAATTTTTTTCTTAGCGTGAGCCTAATACTCCGTTGTACGAAAAAAAATTTTGCTACACTTTTATCTTATCATATTAAATAAGTAGTGACCGTTCAATGATTGAAAATGCACAGCTTATTTTAAGCTTCTTCAGCATTTTTCAGAGAAAAAAAATCAACAATGAGCAAATGTTTTTTGTTTCTTTTGAATGTCTTTTCTAATTTCAGCTTACTTTGGCCCATTTCAGCTTTTATTCTTCTCACTAAAGATTTAAAAGTTTTTTCCACCTCATTTTTGGCAAATTTCAAGGTAATTTTAGCTTTGTTGTGAGCAAATGTTTAGTATCAGACAAAATTCTTAGGTGGAAAAATAAGAGTGAATCAGTTTTTAAAAAGAGAGAGAGAGTGACTGAGCGTGACTCACGCAGATATAAGACAGACCCCACCCCCTCCTTTCTCTTTCTGAGGCTGTCTGTCACAGCAGAGAAAAAGAAAGGAGGGGGCTGGGCAGTGTTGCCAGGTGTACGCTAATTATCGTATTTGTACAACAATTTTGCCCTCTGTACGATGTACAATCATTAATCCCAAAAAAGGCCAAATGTACGATAATTTGACCATTCCATGAATGTGTGGTTGTAATCGGTTGTCATCAGCCTCTCGACACTGTTTGTCCGAGTTTTTTTTGTGAACCCTGAAGGCATCTGTGTCCGCAAACAGATGCACAATTGGCTGAAAATTCCAGCCAATCGTGTTTTTCTAAATGTTACGAGTGACGTGTTCACATTTGTCTCAGAACAACGGCTATGATTGGATGAATAATCCGCTGTGCCCGCCCCATGAGTGAGGAAAAGAAAAAAAAGAAAAGAAAAAGAAGCAGAGCCGGTCTGGAAGCAGACCTATCCAACTATAGTGTATCAATCAATTTGTTATTCTGGTTATGACGGGTGTACGATAATTTCCCTCAAAATACAATAATTTTATGTCTCTAGTACGATAATCCTACATTTCTCACCTGGCAACACTGGGGCTGGGAGTGGGTGGCTGTCTTTCCCCATTGCCAATCATGTGTTGTTTACAATCTTATGTTAAAAACCTGCAAAAGAGTGAGTCTGCAAAAGTCGAACTCTGAAGTATCGAGGGATTAATGTACTTCTTTCTAAATATGTCCACTCATCTATGCTCTTTCAGTATCTTTCTATTATGATATATTCATCCAGGATATTTTTTTGTGTGTGTGTTTATTTTTTGGGGGGCAGAAAAAGCGGTGGGAAAATTTTCTTATAAAAAATTATTTATTCAAGGACTTTTCCACATGTCCACTCAGGTGGACAGCATAGGTTTAGAGATACAGTACGTATTTTACAAACAAAATACTGCATGTTATAATGTGAACATATTTTGAAATAGTTTGACACTGCTCAACTAATGCATAAAAACCATACATATGCAAGAAAATGCCTTTTAAATAGCTGTCCACTGCAGTGACCATTATGCATGAAAGGGCTAGTTTAGTTTAGTAGAGACCAGACTGAGATGGTTTGGACATGTCCAGAGGAGGGACAGTGGGTGTATTGGTAGAAGGATGTTAGAAATGCAGCTGCCAGGAAAAAAGACAAAGAGGAAGACCAAAGAGGAAAGAGGATGCTATAGGTATTTGGAGTGAGGACAGAGGATGCAGAAAACAGAGATGGAGGAAGATGACTCGCTGTGGCGACCTCTGAAGAGGGACAAGCTGAAAGAAGAAGAAGAATGAACATGTTCTAGTTGACTTACCTTGACACTCTCTCGTATCACAGTGCAAAGTCCCATCATGACAAAGGCTTAAGAAGGAAAAACAAAACAAAAATAAGTTTAGCTGAATCAGAAAACTGTGACAACAAATAACAGACAAAATGGCATAACAGGTAAAGCAGATGCAGTAGAAGACATGTCAGATGCAGCACAAGTACAAACACAAATCTGACTAGTGGAACTTTGTACAGCAGCTATACTCTATTATTTGAAGTGTGTGACACAACTGCTAGTGATTTTCAGAATTAAACAGGAAACCAAAATAACCTGTCTGACATAGGACGGTTGATTTTTTAATTTATTTCAACAACTAGGTCCTAACCAAGTACTGCAGTCTACAGTCACTGTGGTCCCTTGAGGAAGAATGACAGGTGTTGGTGGTTCTCCAGAAGCCTGGTGCTGCAGGTAGACACATCCACATTCATGGAGAGGAACACAGCTGCCGTTCTGCTGCAGCAAACCCTGGGAAGAGAAATGCACGAGTCATGAAAAAGAACTTGCAAAGATCATAATGTCATTTTTACATCTTAGCTGAATTTATATAGAGCACATTTATATGGTAAGATTACGGAGATATTATAAAGGTGCAGCTGATTTAGTTTGTTTTATTATGCACATTTTTATTAACTGTTTATTAGAATATTCCTCAATACATTTTTTAAAATTTGGCTGAGCTTTTATTCATCAGAGTGGATTACTAAAACAAGATGATTTATTTTATTTTATTTTAATGATTGCAAAATACTTGTTATGACAAGAAGCAAAACTTGTATACAAAAGTTGTGAATATACCATTTACTTGCCTCTTATCCATAATATGTTAATTATATTCAGTTTTCTGATAAAAACAGTATTTAATAAAGCAGCCTTGAGCATACAGTCAAAAACAAATAACCAGTGTCAAAGATTACGTACACTGCCGCCTGTACTTATACTGTCCTGGCTTTGGAAGCAGTCGACAGGTTAGTGACAACATCTGAGTTAATTAGAGGCACACCTGTGGATGCAGTTTAAGGTACACCTCAAACTAACTGCTTTGTTCTGTGTGACATTATGGGAAATAAATAAAAAATCTGCAATGACATCAGGAAGAGAATTCTCAACCTCCACATCTCTGGTTCATCCTGTTATACAATTATCATAAATCTGAAAGGGCCATGTTCATGTGTTCAAACAATTAAATGCAAACAAACATCACGGGAATGTCCTGCCATCAAACTGCTTAGAAAGAACTAGAAATACGAAAAATGTTTTACAAAGTAATTTAAAAAAAAATCTAAAAAATATTCCCTTTCTCTCATTATTTATCCATTTATAAAATGAAAATATTTGGGGAAATCTTAACTGACGTCACGTTAATCCGATTTAGTCTGATTTAATGTTGGAGGATAAATGGTTGCCTTCCAATACAAGGTGTGTAAGTATTTGGTTTGACTTTGTACTTTAGTATTATTGTACTGAGCGAAACGGTTTGATCACAATAAACATAAAAACACGTACTGTCATACTTCTGGGAAAATAGCTAGAATTAAAAAATAAAGTTGACTGATTTAATCTTGCTTACCTCGGGGCAATAACAGCCAGGTGTACACTCCCTGGCACCCAAACACAAATCACCACTTCCAGTGAGGGCACAGTGCTTTTCACAGGGAGCACCACATGCCACGTAAGCAAACGGGGATTCACAGGCTACATGTGGAAAAAACATGTTGATCAATAGTGCTCTTTTGGTGACATCACTATGCAGAAAAAAAAACAGTTATGAATGCAATCACTCAAAAAAAAAATTAATCAATACCAAGCAATACTTGTTGGACATGTGTACAAGATTTTTTATGTCACCTTCACACTGACGGAGACTGCAGGCTCGGCTATGTGTTTCTACAGGCGTGCACTGCTGACCCCTGGTGGCGGAGGTGAGAGCTACACGATAGCGCTGCTGCCTCTGAGACTCACATGAGCACTGAGACCAAACACTCCATGTAGACATAGGACAACCTGTACAAGAAGGCAGTTTATTCAACCAGGTGTTCTTGACTTTAGACACACACTTATTCTAGTTTTATAGTTCACTTTAAAGCATCAGATGAACAAATGTGACCCTGCAGTTTTGTTGCTGGTGCGTCTGTTCCGTATTTATGTTAGCAAGATGCATGAATTCAGTCAACAACATTCAGTTATCCTTTGTCAAAATGAATATAATGTTTACAGGTATTAAAAACATAAACGATAAAACTACAATCTAATTCTTGAATGTCTAATTGAAGATCTATTTATCTGCTGTTAATTGTCTCCAATTGGTCTACGAGACACAAGAAAGAGTAGACGACCGTACCTAAAACAAGTTGTAGTGTATATACTGTATGTGTGTGTGTGTGTTGCAGGAGTGAGTGAGTAAAATAAGGGCAATGATTTTCTCCACTCTACTACACTTTTTTTTATTTGCAGTCATTTAATTTTATGCTTATGTTTCATAAATGTTTTAATGTTAAATGGTTATTGTTGCACCGGGGTCTGAGAGAAATGTAATTTCAATCCTGTGTATGTCCTGTACATATTGCAGCTTTTGACAATAAAGTGACTTTGACTTGAAAATTGGGAGCACCAAGTGAAATTACTAACCAATAATAAATGAATACACTTAATGGATATTCAGCCACTAAATTCACTCTTGAATATCAGACAACATTTGACGTTACAGGCAATTCTAATCAATGTTTTAGCAAATAAGGAGGAACCTTAATTTGCCTTTTATAATACAAAATAACTAATCAAAATAAAAAGCATCAACAATAAACTAAACTGAACAACACAAATGATAAAGGACATTAATTTGGGGAATAACTATTTTTTTTAAATTACAGTAATTATCCATCCATCCATCCATCCATCCATCCATCCATCCATTTAAACAAACTTTAGTTTGTTCATCCCCTCCATGGGATGAACAAACTAAAGTTTGTTTAAACTTTTAAACGTGCTGCTGATCAACCTCTGCTGAAAAAAAAACCCCACTAACCTTGACCCCTCAGTGGTGTCCAACTTTAGACCTTTCCCAAGACTCCCGTTTGTCTCAAAACTATTGGTGAAAATAGTTGAGTCCCAGTTGAAATGTTTCTTGGAGGATCACGCTATTTTAGAATTGTTTCAGTCCAGCTTCAAAACTCTCCACAGCACTGAGACTGCTTTATTGAAGGTCTTTAATGACATCTTCCTACCCACATATGCAGGTGATTTCTGTGCTCCTAGTCTTACTGGACCTTACATCTGCTTTTGACACCATCGACCATGAGATCCTCATTTCTAGGCTGGATCAGTGGGTGGGCATCACAGGGTCAGCCCTCAAATGGTTTAGATCCTACCTCTCTGACAGAACCTTTTCTGTCAACATTAAAGATGTTATCCAAAAAAGTTCAATGGTCCTCTGGACATTCAAAAAAACAAAAAACAAAACAAAGCAAAACAATGAAGAAACGTTGCGTCTCTCATCCAAGAGACTTCCTCAGTCTGAGGTGCTGTATTCAGCTCAGTCTCTTAAATAGCACCTTCTCAGTGGATCAACCAGTTTGATGCTGACAAACAAAGCCAGCTCTTCACATGGTCAAGAAGATTTTAGTTCAAAATTGGCAGCTCCTTGGTGGGGGGTACCGCAGGGGTCCATCCTCGGTCCTCTTCTCTTTTCTTTATACTTGCTGCCACTAGGTGCTATTTTCCATAAACATAACATGCCCTTTCATTTCTACGCCGATGACTGTCAAATTTACTTCCCTCTGAAGCACACTGGTGCACATTCTATTCAATTCTATTTCTTGACTGCCTGGCTGATATCAGGGACTGGATGGCTTTAAATTTCTTGCGTTTTGTTGAGAATAAGATTGAAGTCATGTTGTTTCCTCCTAATGGCACAATCAAGAAGCACAATATCGACCTCTCCTCTCTGGCCCCGTTAGAGAAACAAAGAGTCAATAATCTGGGAGTGACAATGGACCCTTCCATGAAACTTAACAGTCATGTAAACATGATTGTTAAATCCTGTTTTTTTTTATCTAAAAAAATTAAGTATGGTCCTCTGGACATTCAAAAAAACAAAACAAAGCAAAACAAACAAACAAAAAAAACTGTAGAAACGTTTCGTCTTTCATCCGAAAGACTTCTTCAGTCTGAGGTGCTGCATTCAGCTCAGTCTTCTAAATAGCACCTTCTCAGAACTTTTTTAGATTTGTCTACCTGGATTATTGCGCATGCATCAGGATATTTTGAACCTGGTTTTTTTAAGTTGAGGTGAGTGTCTAAACTGAAGCCCATACTGTCCAAAATTAATCTTGAGACAGTACTACATGCGTTCATAACATCCAGGCTCGATTACAGCAATGCACTCCTGTTTGGAATCAGTCAGACCTCCACTGCAAGTTTACAACTGGTTCATAATACTGCAGCCAGATTGTTAACCAGTACAGGCAAAAGAGAGCACATTACACCAGTTTTGGCCTCCATGCTCAGACTCCCAGTTCACTTTCTAATTCAGTTTAAAATATCCCTGTATGTTTTTAAATTTCTGAACAGTTCTGCCCCCTCTTATCTCGCTGATCTGCTGCAGTCATATGTCCCACAGTGCTCTCTGAGGTCAGCAGACCAGATGCTGTTATTGGTTCCAGGAACCCGTCTTAAGCTCAGAGGTGACGGGGCTTTCTCTGTTGCAGGTCCAAAACTGTGTAATGAGTTACCACTGCATGTCAGGCAGGCTCCCTCTCTCACTGTTTTTAAGTCTCATTTAAAAACCCACTTTTATTCCATGGCTTTTGACAGTGTGGTTAGTTTTTAACCTGTTTGTGGTATGGTATGGTATGGTATGGTACGGTATGGTATGGTATGGTATGGTATGGTATGGTATGGTAAAGAATAATTAACCAGTCTAAGTTTAATGCTCATTGATCTAATGCAGACTTAATTATTTGAGCAGGAATTATTTTGGCTTTTATACGCACAATAAATAAGCCAAAGTTTATCTATTTGATAAGCTGTTTACTTTGGAATTTGGTAAGAAATGTTCTAACAAAGTTGAGTCAGGTCCTCTGGATGGATTCTTCTTTGTTGAAACGGGGTTTTTTTTGTTTTTTTATCCAAAAGACTTCTTCAGTCTGAGGAGCTGCAACAAAACTCAGTCTTATAAGCAGCACATTCTCATGGTGGATCAACAAGTATGTTGGTAGCATCCATAACTAGCTGTTCACATTCAAAATGAGAACCATAACCCTAATGACCAACAGTTAGTGCCCTTTGTTTCTCCTGGAACCCAGACCAGTGGTCATTCCGTAAGTTGTGAGAGCTTCACTTTCAGCTTCAGTTTCTCTTCACAAAGATGCTTCCTTTACTCCTTTCTCAAACCAGCGTTCAAGGATGTGAACATCTTCCTCCCTAAAAGAGTGACCGCTGGCCTGGAGATGAGTGTAGACCGCAGAGTCCTGGCCTGATGATGTTGCTCTTCTGTGCTGGACCATCCTTTTGGCAAGTGGCTGTTTAGTTTACCCGATGTAAGACTGATCACCCTCCTGACACTGAACAACATACACGATATTACTCTGTTTGTGCCGGGGGACTGGATCTTTGGGATGAACCAGTCTTTGCCGTAATGTATTTTGGGGTTTAAAAGCCACTGGGACGTTATGTTTAGAAAATAAACATCTCAGTTTCTCTGATACTCCCTCAACATACGGAATGACCACTGGTCTGGGTTCCTTCTTTTCACCTGATGGCTGACTGGAGATTTGTTTGGGTAATGTTTCAACAAAGAAGAATCCATCCAGATGACCTGACTTCACCTTATTAGATTAGAGGTAAACAATTATCTGAATGTTAGTTCAGGCAACTTTCCTTCTCCAAATCTTAGTTGGCGGCAGTTTGTAGCTGTAATGAACTGGTCCCTGTGGTCCAGAGGAGTGGTTTTAGGGGCTTATTTGCCAAGCTTCCAATGTTTTAATTTCTCAATGAAATGCGGTATCTCAGAGAGTGTGCATGCATAAGTATACCCCTTGGCTTCATCTCTTGTTTCAGATGGTAAAAATATTCACTAATTTGCACCATCACAAACTAAGCAAGTTGTTACAATAAATTTGTAAAAAAAAAAAAACAACAACTTCATTTTAAAGAATGTATAGCTCTTATGGAACGTTTTTTGGTCTCGGCCGGTAAGAGCCATGTCAGACAGTTCTGAATAGTCTGGATTGGCTTGCGTTCAAGCCAAGTTGTGGTCAGAATTGGACCTCACTAAACATTGATTTGAAACAAATTTTAAGCAAAACTGAATTTCTTACATAGCCTTAGTCGTGTTTTCTTTTAAATGTAAAGTCAGGGATAGATGTACCTGGGCAGGGTTGTTTGTAGCACAGTTGGGTCTCTTCACTAACTCTCTCAGCCTCCGGGGAGCATGAAGTTTCACCTCTGTCTTCACACACACACACCCTGTGTCGTAACATCGACCCTGCACCACAGCTCTGGGAGCATGGTGACCATGGCGACCAGGGGCAAAGGTCATCTGTAGACAAAAAATAAAATTAGTATGAGCCTACGTAAACAGTGTGTTTCTATGTGAAAGTGACTTTTATTTTAATTATCAAACATTTTAAAAAAAGTATATAAACCCATGAAAGGTTAAGTGAAGTAGATTATCTCTGTTTGCTAATATATCTGGCAGACAGTAAACAATTAGATTTTAAAGATGATGCATACACACCCAAACAGGGAGGGGTCTGACAGTATTGGGTTTCTCTCTCTGGTCCAGTGCAGTGAGACCCATTGTTTCTCGGCGGTGGGTTGATGCAGGCACGAGTCCGAACATGTGTGCCCTGACCACATGTCACAGAGCAGTCAGACCACACAGACCATGGTGTCCAGTCACCATCCACTGGAAAAAAAACAAAAAAAAACAAGCAGCATTTTTTCATTTGACACCTTAAGTATATCGGACACATACTAGTCAAAGTATGACACACAATGCCT